CTTGCAGAGCAGCAGCAAGATGGACTGATTCCCCTTGAGTAATGCCTGGCTTTAATGTTCTATTATTTACCTTTTGGGTCAATATATCTCCTTCCCTTTAATTAGGGGGTAGAAAGAATTTGTCATAGTTCATAGTGACTTCCACTGATTCGCTGCCTCTGGCAGCTTCAATAATAAGACAGTCTGTTCATCTGCTTCTCCGAGAGCTGTGAGTAGGAGAACAAAAACACCACTAACCAATCTCTTCTCAACACAGTATAGAGAATTCAAGGTACAGATTGAACAAAGGACCTGCATGCAACTTTTTTCTCTCATTCAGAGCAATTGATTTCAGCCTACAACTTTAACTGTGACTTCAAACTCTTCAGCAAATGGTCAGCATCATGGGCATAACATTAAGTAGTGAAAGAGATTTTTATCATTTTTTTATTTTTATTTTTTTTTTTGAAACAGAGTCTCACTCTGTTGCCCGGGCTAGAGTGCCGTGGAATCAGCCTAGCTCACAGCAACCTCAAACTCCTGGGCTCAAGTAATCCTTCTGTCTCAGCCTTCCGAGTAGCTGAACTATAGGCATCCGCCACCATGCCTGGCTAATTTTTTTTATATGTATATTTAGTTGTTCAGCTAATTTCTTTCTATTTTTTTTTAGTAGAGATGGTGGTCTCACTCTTGCTCAGGCTAGTCTTGAAGCGCTGAGCTCAAATGATCCACCCGCCTCAGCCTCCCAGAGTGTTAGGATTACAATTGTGAGCCACCACGCCCAGCCAAAAGTGATTTTTAAACAACATCCCAGAATGTTTACCTCTGAATACATTTCTAGCAAACTACCCCAGAGAGGCACTATGCTTGATAGATTCTGTTATTGCTCAAAAACTTTTTAGAACTCACTTTTGATGGCCACAGCACAATCTATGAAACATATATAGTGATAAATTATGTATATATTTAGAAGATGGATTTTTCTTTCTGAAAATAGTTAAGATTCACCCAGAAACAAGTCAGGTGAATGAAATGGGTGATTAAGCTGATTGATACCATCTGGTATCAAAAATGAAATATAATCTCATAAAATAGCAAAATTGTTGGGGGGGGGAGGAGAGAGAGAGAAATTTACAAAATAGTCCTTGAATGTAATTCCAAAAGAGGAGTTCTATAAATGTTTGATCAATAGAAGTATTTTAGTAAAAATGATGTGACTCCATCGTAGAGAAAGGATGATTCTTTTGAAGGTCAGCCATCATCTGGATTTTTAAGTTCTGGTATGTTCATGGAGAAAGTTAAGTTTCTTTACTGACATGGTAAGAAAATTGATTACAACTAACAGAGTACCCAATGAAACAGAAGCTGGTTTCTCTCTTGTGTAAAATTCTGCAGAAGTGGGGTGTTGACTCGAATCCACAAAATCCTTAGGGTCCAGCTTCCTGCTAGCTCATTGCTCTGCCATCCCTAGGATGTGTCCCTCATCTTCATGTTGCAAGCCATGCTCTGGCCATCATCACATCCACATTCAGGCAGGAAAATGGAGTATGGGAGTTAGAAAAGACAAACGGTACTGAAGTTTAGCCACCCTTTGATGGTTCCACTCACATCTCATTGGCCAGAACTCATCACATGGTTCTAGCTGAAAAGCAGCCTGGGAAATGTAGTCTTAATCCCAGGCAGCCATGTGCCCAGCTGAAAGCAAGGGTTCTACTACCAGGGAGGCACGCAAGAGCAGACATTAGGATTGGCAACTAGCAATCTATGCCACAGCTACCTTTACTTACAGCTTACATTTTAGTGAGCTTGAAAGACAAAGTGATATCATAACTTGCCACAAAACGCTCTTAAACAGAAATAATTGTATTTCTAGTTAAAATCATTTCATGGCCATTGAACAAGAAACTGTTTGTATGTGCATTATATATACATATTGTTTTATTTAATTATCCTAATACCCCATATAATGGCTACTGGCATCCCCATTTTATAAACAAACAGATTTCGAGATGTAAAAATCCCAGATTGAGCAAGTTGACATACATAGTTAGGAAATGGCTGAGGTAGAACTTGAACTCAAAACCATCCATCTCCAGAGCCTGGGCTCTTAACTGCATTGTTATTCCCCCAAAAGGGAAAGATCTTGAAAAAGCTGATTGTTTGCTAGGACTCTGGGACTCACACGTTGGTAGTGTTTGGAAGTATGCCAAAACTAAGATTTAGCAGTTTTCACTCAACAAAACTGAAGTGCCTTCTATGAGCCCTTTGATGGGATGAATTTGTTAACTCTAAGTATGAAGCCCTTCAAACCGTCCAGAAGTGTTTTCTCTGCTTTTTTATTTTTTAATTTTTTGAGACAAGGGGGCTAATTTTTCTATTTTTTTGTAGAGATGGGTGTCTCACCATGTTGCTGAGGGTGGTCTCAAACTCCTAACCTCAAGCGATCCTACCACCTCAGCCTCCCAAAGTGTAAGGATTTACAGGCTTGGGCCACCGCACCTGGTGCCCAGAATCATTTCTTGCCACTTCACTGATGATATCTAATTCCCTTCATCCCACCAGTGTGGATGGGAAAGGAAGGAAAGAGAGGAGGGAGGGAGGAGAGGAGCAAGGGAAGGAGAAGGGGGAAGGGAAGGAAAGGAGGAAAGAATGGGAGGACAGGGAAGTTTCTAGGGCTAGCCCAGTTTCATTGTCAACTCAGCCTGGGTCTCCTTGTTGTGAAAAGATGGGGATGTTTAAACATTTCCATGGCTGGGGAATAGCAGTTCTTGCCCTTGGAACAAAATGTTCTCTCCAAGCACTTGGGTGAACCTTCAGTAGGAAGAGGAAAAAGAACCGTATTTTCTTGGCTGCCTTTTTCAACAGAGCATGATGAAAGCAATTTTATTATAGTACCGAAAATGGCTAGTGGCTGCCGATCGCCTTTTTGGTCTGACAAAATTTAAATTCTACTCGCCTGAAGACACTGTGTTCCATGAACAGTGTGGTCTCATTTCGTGCTCAGTGTCTGGGAGTAGTGACAAGGGCTAAAGCAGACAAGCCTGAGCCCGGGAGAAGGGGTGCTCTCAGCTGCTACATTTTTGAAGCTGTTTTCTTAGAGTCCCTGGCTGAACTTATGTAGGTATGAAAGACCTCAAATCCAGCATTATTTTTGTGAAGGAAAAAGAGCATTAGTGTCTGCAGGAATCTAAAACATCCTTACAGAATAAAATCCCAAACCAAATTTTCTGCAGGCACATGTACTCTTATACTTTAAGGGTTATGAAATAAATTGTGACTCTTGGGGAGTTAGAATAATGACCAGTGGGCGGGCAGGAAGTGCCAGGAGAATTGGAGGCTTCTTTAACAGTCCTTCAGCTTAGGACAGACAGTCCACTCTCATTTCCCATCCTCCAGGAGCCCAGAGGTCCCCCTAATCAGTTTACTGCTGTAGGGTGCCACCGTCAGTTTCTCAGCTCAGGACAGGAAAAAGAAGCCCTGAGAGCCAGCCTGGCAGGGGTGGAGGGTGTCTTTGCTGAGCTTGTCCTTCTAGAGCAAGGGTCCTCAAAGTTTTTAAACAGGGGGCCAGTTCACTGTCCCTCAGACCGTTGGAGAGTGTGCACTGTGGGCCCGGGACGAGTTGGCTGCTAAGCAGGAGAGGCAGCACACGGCAAAAACACACGGAAGGCCGGATAAATGTGCTAGGTGGCCCGCATGTGGCCCGCGGGCTGTAGTTTGAGGATGCCTGCTCTAGAGTGTAAAGACCAAGTTGCTGATGCATTACAAGGCAATGGACACTCACGATTCACATTTTTATTATACTCTGTTTTCAACATCAACCGTTAGGTTCAAGATCAACTCACAAGTCCTCAGTTTCTCCTTCCATCCACCCAGGCTCATGGAGAGCAGAGATGACACCCTTTACTCAAATACTTCACCCTCAAGCTTCTACCCCCACCTCTGTGTAGAGGTGTCACATCTCTAACAGCCCATCCATTCCTTCGGTGGTTTGTCCACGCCCTCATTCATTTGTTCACTCATCAGCATCTTTTCGTTTGAACACAGCGCAAGGCTGTGCAGGGCTAGTACCGGAAGTGCAGCAGGAGTTCAGAGGAAGTGAGGGGTGAAGGGCATCAGCAATTTCTCATGTGCTGGTTTGGTCCCTCGCAGAGCCTGGCTCACAATAAACACTTGTTGAATCACCATCCTTCGGTTGCCTCTTTTAGACACGCAGGTGGGTGTCTAGAATATCCCAGCTTGGGGCATCTTGTTCTGGCGGTCATCCAGTTGGTCTGGACAAGAGGCTTGCAGACACCAATGACGCACCTGTGCCCGTAGCCATGGGCAGCCACCACGAAAAACTGCCCCACTGTAGCTGTTCCCTGGCAACTTGCCAAATGTCCCCAAACTAGAGGCCCCAAACTTGCCAAATGTCCCCAAACTAGAGGAGAAAGTCCCCTCCTGACCTGCCAGGTGCTACCCAGGGCCCCAAAGAGGCTAAGTACGTTCCCTGATTTTTCCTGGCCCCTCTAGCCTCAGGCCACAAGCACAGTCATAATACCGGCTGCAAAAGTGCTTTTTCTTTCCTGCCACTGCCCCCGAGATGAGAAAGGGACTTGGTCTTTCCTCCTCACCCATCCCCGGCCTGAGCAGGTCTTGGCTAACTCCCCTTAGCAGTAAGGGCCCCGGGCCGCACTGTCCTCCTTCCAAGTCTCGAACCCTTGGGGTCTCTGAAGCTGCTCCACCGAAGGCCCCTGGTAGGTGCTGCATCACTCCCAGGGACAGGAGCTCCATCCTGTCACACGGAGCTGCCCATACATAGCCCTTTCTTCTCCCTCCCGGGAGAGAAGGGGAAAGAGGCCCACCTCACCCTTCAGGTCGTTCCTCTGAGTAGAGCCATACAATTTTATTCACTGTTTTTTCCCTGAGAAAAAGCCACTTCCTTGCTTCCTTCTTCTTTTTATGGTTAATGGAAAGACTTCCCAACAAAGCAGACACCTACACTCAGGGCCCTAATCAAGCTGCATCTCTTCCTCCTGCAGATTCCGTTGTCATTGCCTTCTGGGTGAGCCTGGCTGCCTTCGTGGTGCTCCTCTTCCTCATCTTGCTCTACATGTCCTGGTCAGGCTCCCCACAGATGAGGTAAGAAGGGGCGTGGGTATGTGGGTAACTCAGATGCAAGAATGGTGAGCATCGGTACAGGCTGAGAATCCCTCATCCACAATCCTCAGGACTAGAAGTGCTTCTGATTTCAGACCTTGGAATGCTGGCATTATCCTTGCCGAAAGAACATCCCAAATCCAAAATCTGAACTCTGACATGCCCCAGTGAGCATTTCCCTTGAGCGTCATGTCAGTCCTCGAAAAGTTCTGGATTTTGGAGCATTTCAGATGTTTGGATTTGGGATGCTCAGCCTGGACACCCATGCAATGGAGCAGCACCCAGCAATAAAAAGGCATGAAGCACTGATTCATGCCAACAGCACGGATGGATCTCGAAGGCATCGTGCTAAGTGAAAGGAGCCAGACACAAAGGCCACATGTACCATCCCATTCACATGAAATGTCCAGAATGGGCAAATCCAGACAGACAGAAAGCTGGGAGGAGGCCAGTTGCAGGTGGGGTGATTGCTATGGATTTCTTGTGGGGATGACAAAATTGTTAGATTTATGGTGGTGGTTGCGCAACTGTGAATGAACTAAATAGTATCCTTTAAGTGAGTGGGCCTTATGGCATGTAAAATACATCTCAATAAAGCTGCTACAGAAAATAAAGCCAAATAACCCCTCTTTCAGGTAAGTCTTGCCAGCCACCAGGAAAATGGGGCCCTAACTCAGGCACCTACAATCACCATCTCTCACTGAGTACCTGCTGTGCACTGCAGTGGTTAAATGGAGCAGAAATCCAGGAGCTCCAAGTAGTAATTAGAACCTGGCCGGTTATGTTAATTCCCCTGCACTGAACAATTAGCTGTGGTGACATCCTATTTTCCCTTCTGGGTCAATCAGCCCCCACAGCTGCTGCTGTCCTACTGACCGTTCTTACAAGGGACCCTACATCCTGTCATAGCTGACCAGACCAATGGTGGGCAACTGACCCAGAGAGGGTCCATCCCCTAGACACTGGCCAATGCCCTGTGTCCTGGCAGAAGAGATGGGCCCAGGTTCCTGTCTTTGGAATTTGCATTCAGGAACCTGAGAGATGGACCACGCAGTTATGGGGGTCTGTGCTGAGTGGTCCAGGAGCAGGACGAGGGTTGGTACCAGTATGGACCTTCATGTCCCTGTGGACATAAGTCTTTGGCAGAGGAAACCATGAGTAACGTAGGAAGCTCGTCAGAGAGAGATGAGCAGAGCTGTTCTAGAGAGGAAGAGGTGAGGGGCCTTGGAGCCCCTGAGAGAACCAGAGGGCAGGCTCTATACCTGATGGGGTCCTACCCACCCCAGTTCCTGTGAGGAACCTGGGAATTCATGCAATTTCAGGATGATTTAGTCCATTTAGTGTTGCTGTGACAGAAATCCTGAGACTGGGTAATTTACAAAGAAGAGGTTTATGTGGGTCACGGTTCTAGAGGCCGGGAAGTCCAAGAGGCATGGCGCTGGCCTCTGCTCGGCTCCTGGTGAGGGCCTCGTGCTACCGACACCACTACACTGGGGACTAAGCCTGCACATGGGTTTTGGTGGGGACAAACCATGTCAAGCCATAGCACAGAGCTCCCTCGGAGGGGCCTCTGACTCTTCCCCTCCTGGTGCTCACCCTCCCCTGGGAGTCTCGCCCACCGGGTCTGCACACACCGGGTCGTTTCTGCTCACCTTTGGCCAGGCATGGGAGGCAGAATTGGAACAATGAAGAAAATCCATTCTGTTTGTTTTTAGAACTCACACTGAATTTAAGCAGGTTTTAAGCCCCCTCTCCCCAGACACCTGAGGGATAAACGAACGAAGTCATCTTTCTTTGCCACTTTTCTGAGGTGAAGTCCTGTGTCAGGGGCAGTTTGCAAGGGTGGTCAGTAATCCTCCCGGCAGAAAGTTCCTCCGTCTGGTGGGCACATGGGGGCCGCCTCTGCCAAGTTCCACTTCAGCAGTTGGCACAGGCCTCCTGGGCTTCAATTTCAAAGGGTCAAATTGATGACGCTGTTCGTCCTGACCGGCCGCAGGGCTCAGTAAAGGAAATGCTCTCGAGGAACTTGGCAACAGACGTGGAATGCTTCCGGCAGCAAAGCTGATCCTTAGCGAGGTTTAGGAAAGAGAGTCCCTCCCTGAGGAGTTGATCTCTTGGGAAGGCAGGCACAGAGGGGTGGCAGGAGGGAAGGTGGGCATGTCCTAGGCTAGCGCCATGTGGCAGGAGGCCTCTGCCCCAGCAGGTCCCTCCTGGTGCTCTTCGTTCACACGAGCACCGTAACCATGTGCAAGCTTGTTTTATAGCTTGGGCAGCCATCAGTACATCACCTCATTTCATCCTGATGACAGCTACTAGGAGATTATTGTCCCATTTTATGGATGACACCAAAAGCAGGCGGGAAGTGGTGGCGGGGGCTCACGCCAGGCAGCCATGTCCCCTGCCCCAGCACCTCCCAGGGGCAAGAACCATCCAGTAGGGATGCATTTCTAGTCAAGATACAAGCTGGCTTGGGGGCTGGATAGGAAAAGAGCTATGCTCAGATACGTGGCTGGAGGGAGGTCAAACCTGTCCCACTTGTAAATGAATGTAAGAGGAAGTGACTCCGAGGAAAAGACTTGAGGCCTCGGTCTAGACAAAGTATGTCCTCTCTCTTGAGCTCTCTCTATGATGGCCACCTCTGTGAGGCCCTCCTGAGGGGTGGCTCCCGTGACCTTCCCTACAGGCTCTGGGCAGGTAGGAAGGTGTGGCAGCAAAGCGCCCGGGACGGACCCTCCTCCAGCCAGCTCCTCTGACGCCTGCCTCATTCTGCTCTGTCCGCAGGAACAGCACCCAGCACCACCACACCTGCCCCTGGAGTCACCGCCTCAACCTGCCCCTCTGCATCCAGCGGCACCTGCAACGCCACAGGGCCCCCCCAGGGGACCTTACAGGCTCCACCAAGCTCGGTGGAGGACCCAGGGAGCAGAGCTGGCCCTGACCAGTGGCCGCAGCAGGACAGCCCCTCAGCCTCGCTCCCCCAAGCCAGGAGCTGGCCCTTGATGGGGGGCCCCAAGGCATCAGCTGACGTCAAGGACAAGCCCAGGGAGCCTGCCCCGGTGACAAAACCTGTCAATTGCTGAACTGACACCAGTAGATCATGGCCATAGCTAAGCGAACAGTGCATCAAACCAACCTGGACACACACTGTCTTTCTAGAGGCCTTCTGCACATAGCAGAAAGTGCGACTACAGGAGGTACACCACGTGCCTCTGACAAAGGCGTGCACATGGCCCTTCGAGCACAGAAGAGTTGTCCCAGGTACTGATTTTATTTGGCACACTTAAGCTGCTTCCTCATGGCTTACGTTCACTTTGGGAAGGACGGGAAAATAAATATATATAAAGTAAGAGAAAAAGATACTCACTTACTAAGCTTTAGGATGCCACTTACCTGTTCCTTCTGTAACATTTCCTCAGCCCCAAGTTCACCTGGTCCATCTGTAGCTTGGTTGGGGCACTGGGGAAGCCACAAGGGCCCCATCCATCTTCCACTGATGCTCCTGCTCGCCCAGACATGGTGGTGTCTGCCCTGCCAGGTCAGGGGACCTGAGTCACACCCCTAACTCCCTGCAGACTTTCAAAGACAGAGGCCACGAGGCATCTCTCCTGCGGGGAGGGCAGCCAGGGCCCACAACCAAATGCTATCACAGAACGTGAGGAGCTCTTGAAGCCGGCAGGAAGGGTCCCATTCCGGATGTGACTCTATGTGACCACAGATCTGAGATGCTCAAAGGATCTGGTGCTCCAGTCCCCGGCAGCCCTGTCCCAGGGGAGGTAAACAACATCACACTACAAAGCCCTGAAAACCCACATGCACAACCCACAGCTTTCAGGCAGGGAGGGGGCTGGTGGATTTTTAAAATAACTGCACCCCCCATTTTGTACCAGAGCATTTAAAATATAATGTAGTGGGGACAGGCCCGGCCTCCCCACCCTCCAGGGAAGGCGGGACCAACAAGCTCCAGAGACGCTGAGAACGAGTCCTCACTTTACTCAGCTGAAAGCCAGCTCTGGAGCGCTCGCTGCCACCTACCATAGCATGTATCTGACTTGTTTCTGTCAGGTACCACCCACTGGAATGCTCCTGGAGGGCAGCCCACCGCAGAAAGGGAGGAGGGGACAGAGTCACTCCAGTGCTGGCGCTTGGGCACCCAGGGAAGGCAGGCAGGACCAGGGAGCTCCAGGGCAACTCCCCCTTCCCCAGGGCTCATGACAGGGGAGGGCAAGGTGTCGCCATGTCAGCTGGTATGAGCCCACCCCAGTCGTTGGGACCTAGGAACCTAGGAGGCAACGGAGGCCTGGAGGCCAGGATGGAGTGGAAACCTGCCCCCCTCTCCACCCCTCCCTGCGCTCCCAGAGGCCTGGAGCTCAGGGTCTTCCCCAGACCACTGTCCTTCCAGCCAGCCCCTCAGCAAAGCCAGCAGAGCTGCCTGCACCCAGAGGAGTCTCTGCACACAGGCTGCAGAAAGGTAAAAACAACAGGGAACCAGGAAGGGAAGAGAAAGGAAATGCAGCCTTTACTGGAACAGTGCTTGTGTGAGTGCGGCTTGGATTTAAATGCAGGATTTCCACTTCAGCCTAGTCTCGAGGAAAACTGCTGCGAGGTTTTTGGTGGGGGCAGGGAAGGAGACAGAGGAGGGAGGTGATCCTTGCTTTTTAGACAATGCACCCTATTTGTGGGGAAGTGATGCATGCAAACAAGCATCACTCTTGCCTTGGTTAAAACCGAAAGTCACCTAAACACACAGAAAACATTCTAAAGAACACTGGTGGCATACAAAGGGTAAACGTGTAAGATGAAACCAAGCCATTTCCAGCACTATGTGTATCATATGGCAAATAAAACAGCCACCTCCTAGGTGACAGAGCAGACCCCAGGAGCCCAGTGTGTGCAGGAGGGTTTTAAACAGACAAGAATTTTATCTGTGAAAACTGTGAAATTTCATATTGACTTTCTTTTCCAGCTACAACACCAACTAATACATGAACCTTAAAAGTCAAATTCTGACCTATAAAACGCAAGCCTCTATGGAATAAAAATAGCCTGTTAACCTCAAATTAGAGCACAACACAAAAACCTTACAAAAATAGAGATTTATTAATAAGAAGTAATAAAATTCAAAATCCCCTCCTTGAACCATAACTTTAAAAAATACAGGGTTGTCTTTGCAAAGCAAAGACTTTATACTTTAAGGATTTAGTGTAACATCCCTTTATTTAATAAAATAACAAATGCTGGCAGGAACCAATTTATTCAGAAAGTCACACTAAACTTTGTTACAACTTCTTAGGAAAAACCCTTCACAACTCTCTGCGCTCATCAAAAAATATCAGACATATTTTTTTGACATTTTTAGCTTTAACATCCACGAATCCCTTCTGCACTCAGAAGTACTATAATACCTCGACTGAAGGTACTTCTCTGAAGAATGAGAGAGAAGCTCTTCCCTAACTGGCCCGAAGTGCCCCACACTCACCGCAGCTCTGTGCTTGGGACACAGGCCCTTGAGTTTATGATCCACTGGTTGGTTAAATAAAGTCTTCTCAACTCTTCTCGTCAGAGAACTGCGTCAGCGTGCTGAACCTGCCATTTCACACGCCTTCCCCAGGAAGGCCCGGCCGCACCAGCCTTCTAGAAGCTGCCGCTCGAGGCGCTGATCACCGGGCGAGTCCGCAGCCAGCAGCGAGTCACACGTCCGAGGCAGCGGCAGCGAGGTCCCTGCAGAGCACGACAATGGCCTCCTGCCCACTGCTGGGCACATCCTCTGCGGCGTCACAGACCATTCGCACGTGGGCTCGCAGGGTGTCTGGCCGCTGCGCCCCCAGCCAGACGTCCTTCACGTACAGAGACACCAGGAAGGCTGCGGAGGCTGAGGGAGGGTGAGAAACAGGCCGTGAGGATGCACACCTCCCTCCTCAGCGCCTAGCAAGTCACCCGCCCTCGACGCAGGGGCCCTGCCACCCGCCCAGAGGCACCACGCCACACGTCTGCCAATCGAATAATTGACTTTCGCATTAATGTTTTTTGTTCACTTTATAATTTGTCTGTCTTCTGCTGAATGTATGTGGATCCCCTAAAGAAAGGTACAATAAGACAAGTCTCTTCCTGGTTCTAGCCACCCATGCCAAGAACCAGAACTGAACTCTGAGAAGAACCTTCCGGAATCATTTCATATCATTTCCTCAGTGGTATGGATGAGGAGGAAAAGAGAAAGTTTTCACAGGCAAAAAGATTCAACTCTCAGACTTCGGCCATTTGAGAGAAAGTGGTCACGCTGCTGCCCCCCCACCCCGTGAACTCTCTCACAGCCATCCAAAGCCAGTGCTATTCGCTTATTCATTCGCTACTCATGCATTCAACCTCTAGGCTCCTGCTCAAGGCCAGGTCCATGGAGCGTACATGTGTGTATCTGAGTGCTTGTGCAGATGCACGTCCGTATGTGAGTGCGTGTGTATACACACATACACATCTGGGTGTGGTGTGAAACAGTTCATTTGGGTAATGGTCAGAAACCCTACTGCTTTGCAGGAGGAGGAGCCCCTGGCGTGACACAGAGGTTTTGAGTGGGGCCTTTCTCCACTGCCAACATGACTGGCACTGCTGGGTTCCCCTGAGAGCCAAAGCAGAGACTTCCTTCCCTTCACGTTCAGTGCCAAAGAGTAAACTCCCGGCAACTCCCAGAACTGTGGCAAGGGGCCACACCTAAATACCTAAAATCCCACGCTGAGGAAGTTTCTGGCAGAAACCTAACAGGCCCTAAGGAACAGAAGCTACTCTACCCCAAGCCCACTTACATGTTTCTTCAGCCTCTGACGGAAGAACCAGCCTTACCTCGCGTGGCTCCCTCCTTCCCGCTCAGGGAGGAAAGGGAGAGGGCCTCCACTGCGGCGTGCAGGGGGCTCCCGGCCGGGCCCTGGGCGGCCACCAGCTGCAGCATGACCGTGTTGAACAGGCAGGCCACATCCTGTGCGGGCCCCACCAGGCCCTCGGCACCGCAGAGCCGGCTATACAGCCTGAACAGGCTGCTCCTCACGGCACTGTCCCTGAGAAGCTCAGCCACGACCACCCGGTGTGGCAAAATGTGGCCCTTCAGCCAGCCGAGGAGTCCTGCAGCCTCTGCCCTGCTGAGTGGGTGCTCGGCCACAGACCGCAGCACCCAGCTGGCCGCCAGGGAAGCGGCAGCGTCCATAGGACCCGGTGCCTCACTCTCGGGGCTGGCCCAGTCTGTGAGCTCCCGAGCAGGCTCAGGGCTGGGGATCACTGGCCCCCAGTGAGTCAGTATGGACCTCAGGAGGCCTTTGCACGTCTCCAAGTTGGACGCCTTCAGCCCAGGGTCGGTCACTTCCTCTGCCTTCCCGGGCCTCCTCTTTCGGCCCCGAGGGCCTTTGGCTCGGGCTGTCACGACAGGCTTGTTCTTATCCTTGAGCATTTCTGTTAAAAAAACAGAGCATTTCTGTTTAAATGCACAGAGAAGAAGGGTAATGGCACTGGTGTCCTTCCTGCCCACACAGATCCAGAGTTGTGGGGGGTGGGGGTGTGTGTGTGGATGGGGACAGACAGGAGGGAGGGAGGGGCAGCTGACTTATGCTGAGCACTTGGCACTGCTCCCACACTTGTAGTGTGGTAAGTGCACAATATTTCACTGGGACTGTCAGCATTGCTATTATAATGAACTCATCAATCCTTGCAGCATGGGCAGGTGCCATCATTATCCTCTTTTACATATGAGGGATCAGAGCTTAAATCCAGGAGGCCTGGCGCCGGTCTGTTCTTTTTACCGTACACTATATGGTGAGGTGGGGACATGTAATTCTTAGCCATTCCCTGCCCCCGTTCCAGGTGAGCACCCTGACGCTCGGGCAGGTTACGTGATTTATCCAAAGCAAAAGGGCGGCTAAGCAGCAGAGGCTCCCCACCCCCTCCCTAGAGCTCCAACACAGAGGTGTCCCATCTCTAAGCCTCATCAGCTTTGGAAACGCTGCTCAGAGAGGAAGTGAGAGAGAGACACACACACTGGCTGCTCTGGTTGGGACTGGAGCACAGTTTGGGGACAGTCACGGGCTCACACACTCACTCATCAGCTCCCTGACTTGGCACTTCTCAATGGCTGCTCTCAGGTCTTCTTGAAGCTTAATGTCTCTTTCGATGAGGCTCCACTTGTGCAAGAGGACAAGGACGTCCTTGGTGGAGAGTACTGTCTCGTTCACGGTGAATCGGTTCATGTCCTTGAATGCCCGTATGACGGTAACCCTGTACCTCAGCACTGAGTCAAGAGTCCCGAAGAAGGCGATCAGCTGGGTGGAGGCCAAGGTGGGCCTGTTTGGGAGCCAATGTTACAGACTGAGCAAAAGCTGCCTCTTGTCCTGGCAGCCAGGACTGGGGGCGGCCCGTCAACACTGCATACCCAGAGGTACAAACAGTCCATCCAGGAACCAGGTTCCCTTTACAACAGATATCTAGTGGGGGCCCCCAGGACATAGAACAGGAAAAAGTGAGCCACTCCACGGAGGCAGAAAGGGAAACCCAAAGTCTGATCTCCACCCTGAAGGCACAGAAATCTCCTGGGAAACCCTGGCTAAACCAGGTAGCCAAGCAGAGAGAGCTTGAGGGTCAGGGTGCCAAGAGCCCAGCAAACTCCACTCCAGGTCTGCTGATTTCCCTCCGTTTCACGGCCTATCAGCCTCACGTGAAAAAGGCCCAGGAAGGCCCTCGGACAGAATCACCACCCATGGCTACAAACTGGAGTGAGTGATGGTCACCAGCAGGAAGACCTCTCTGAACGTCAAGTAATTTTAAATCCTATGACGTATGTTCCACATAATTTTAAAAGTAAAATCATTATTTCAAATCAGTTCACAGACACCAACGTGTGTCTTCTGACAACCCCAAAAGAAGA